CGTGGTTTTCATTCAGGTGGCCATAGCAGACGGCGCCAGCAGTCGGGCGTTATAAGAAGCATAAAACTTTTCCAGGGCAGTTATTTAGCACTTCGTACAGTCAGGGAAGAAGCTGCAGCAGTACTTTACCGATCTCATTAAGTGAAGTACAACAAAAATAATAAAAGAGACAAGAAAGCGGCTGCGGGCTGTGCATGAGAGGGCGGCGGAGCAATCCAACTACGTACGTCCCAGGGACGCCTCCGCATGGTGGCGCCACAGTATGTCCTCACGCCCAATAATGTCCTCAATGTACCTTTAAAAGGAATTTTCAGATAGACCGACCTTTTTTCCTGTAAGATGCAACTTTGTTATTCATAATGAGGTATGAGTGTAGTTCAAAAATTATAATTATGCTTTTGGCTTGTAGGGCTTGAGTTCAATTAAGCTTTAAAATCATTAATTTGTTAAAAAAGTAACAGAAGTTTACTAAATCGAAATATGCCAAAATATACCTGTTGTGCCAACAGTCATACCGACTATAATATGGTTGGTGTAGTTTCAATGAAACTTGGCAGGTTCGTAGTGAAAACATCCTGTGAATCTACCCTCCATGATTACACCTTTAAGCTAAGGTGTAATCTATAAAAGCTAAGGTGCACTATAAAAAAATATGGATAAAATTCATATTCGGCAGTAAAAAAAGTTACCGCTCATTTTCGACCATTTTGCTTGAGTGCACTTTCTTTATAAAGCAAGAACACAAAAAATTTAAGTGGAAATAATAATTAGAAGGTAAGTTATTATAGCATAATTGTAGGATGTAAAAAATCGTGTTTTGAGAAAAATGGCTAAAATATTTGAACATAATGTCCATGTTATTAATAAACAAACATTCAATATACCTGAAATTCAGCAGGCTCAGGAGCTTGGCACCTCCTTTAAAGTGGTACAATCACCTTTCTTAATCTCATCATGACTTCTTAATCATGAGATTAAGAAGCTTGCGGGTATAAATTGGCAGCAGCAAGCACAGGACCGGGTTAACTGGCGGAACATGGGAGAGGCCTTTGTCCTGCAGTGGACGTAGTCAGGCTGATGATGATGATGATGAATCTCCTTTCATGTGAGCTGAACCACATTTTTTTGTAGCTCGTTTTGTCTCCGGTAGACACTTATCCACGTGCTTCACAGCAGGTCCACACTAGGTATATTGATTCCTTAACTTGCGTTGGCGCTTTTTTGTCCTATGCTTCATCATATTTCATGAACTATGCTTCCCTCTTCCGTTGTATCAATAACAGACCCTTTGTTATTCAAGACTGCAATTTCTCAGCAATGCTTGTAACTATACGCAGTTTCCATTATCTATCTTTGTCTTGTATGTGCTTGAATTCTTATACATTTTTAGTTGACTTATGTTGCCTTCCTGATTTGCGCATCTGATACTTGTTTATTTTGTCTTTTTTTCTTGTGTGTTATATATGTTGTACCCACCCCCTCTGTAATGCCCTACAGGCCCCGAGGGTATTCTAATAAATAAATAAATAAACTAATACAACTCTCTCCTTTAAAGGCCAGAACTAAGTCCAAGAGCTTGAAATTATGTACGAAAAACACAAACAGCCGAGCAAAAATGCGTGCCACTTAAACAACAGTGCCAAAGTCATGAAGTGGGAATTTTAAAATAAATTGAAAACATCCTGTTCCAGAAGCTTTGAAAAATACTGACACAACTAAAGACTTTCAAAATGCTCCAATCATAAATGGATTTATTTTTCAAAGTTTCGGAGCCAATTCGGTTTGCTCCACAGGGGGGGTGACCGCAGAGGTATCAAGGTGCAACACTTCTTCGATGGGACAGCTGGGGAGAGGAAGAGAAGGGGCGTTTTATTCTGTGGTGAGTGTATTAAGGGGGTTGTGGTTGCTGTGGTTGCGTGGGGTTGACTGGCTGGGGCTGCCAAGGGCCGGGCCGTTAAGGGGAGGGGGGGACAGGTCTTAGAACGATCAAAAATGGCCAAAAAATAATTTCATTGCGCAACTTAATTTCGGGGCATTTGTGCCTCTGAGCACCTACTCTCAAATTACTAACGCCAAATTTGGTCGGGAAGTGTGATAAAATGAGCCTTCAAAGCACCCTGGCAGCAGTAAAACGCCCCCAGAATAACTAAATTTGTTCGAACTTCGTGACGCCATGAGCATTGCAGCAGGCCAAGCATCGCCATTTTGAGCTGGATTTGGAGCTCTTTTCTTTTTGTGCATTTGCGCCACCTCAAAATGGCATTGTTCAAGCAGAATGGCCGCTGCCGCTGGTTTCGTGAAGGTCTTTCTGGGGTTGCTGATAGGCTGTCACTCGGCGCGCATTTTGAGTGCGTCGTACCGAGCTTCCCATTAACTGGCATGCGCATTTTTTTTTGCATGTTCACCGTCATGTCGTCTGATCGTGTACGTCTGCTCTTGTACTCATGCATGTTTCTCAACGTACCGTGTTTGTGCTTTGCGTTGGTAGTTTATCCATGCGAATGAGATGACCAGAGACTCGTCTAAAACTGTAATCGCAACAAGCTTTTAAAAGCGGTAAAAAGCAAGCTTAGAACAAGCAGGCGTCTGCTAGAAGTGCATCGTCGAGATGAGAGTTTGGTGGAGTTGGTGCCCTACTTATCGTGAGGCGCCCTTACATATACGATCCACTCCGTGTGCAGAACGATCACGCGAGCAGTGGAACACAGAGCGCATGTCACGCTCCGCTTACGAAGGCGATTGAGCGAAGCGTGAGCGTCCACTTGATTTCACCGAGATTTTGCAAACACGCTTGTCAGAAACGCGAAATGTAGGCAGTTCCCTGCGCACCCTGCATTGTCTTGGGAAGCTAAATCCGAGCGTAAGCAGTGCTCAGTTCATAGCAGCCTATTACACAGGGCCGCATGCTGCTCGATATCCAGGCGGTTCATTAGTGTGAACCGCCTGGAAACATTCAGTGTTTTGGATGTACCATGATTCGAGTACCAGTAGTTTTTATTGATTACCGTAAAAAGCCTTTTTTGTAAGTTGCCAAGCTTCCTCTGCCTGTAACTTTCACGAGCTCAATCTTGCTACCTTTTTTGCATGCAGATACATTTCAATATGCTTTTTTCCCAGCCGCAGATTTATAGAATTCTTTGCCTGGTCACATTTGATCACTCTCTCCGAATTATTACATGACTATTCTTGTTGAAAATTATTATGTAACACAAGCTTAATTCCTTTATTGTTATGTTTTTTTTATTGTTGCTTCTTTTCATGTATCTTTTCTGTTGCGATATTTTACTGTGCTTTATAATCCCACTCTTGTAATAGCCCCTCTATAGGGTGGCTGTATGTAAAATAAATAAATAAATAACATAAGCCACATTATAGTCCACAAGCATAAGAAAAAGCATGTAAAAAAAAAGTTGAAGAGAACCCGAAACGGCCTGAAACATTTTTTTTTAAGTTTTGCCAGAATTTGGGCTAGAATACTGTACCACCAAATCATTCGCACTGCATATTTAGCGACATGCCATGTAATTGTCCACTACGGACGATTTTATCATACCCTCCTATTCACCCCAGCCGTGCCTCCTCAACTCATGAGACACGCTGCCGATAGCAGAAGTCTCATGAGTGCACTCAACAATTTGAGCTTAGCCCAGTCTAGACCTCCAGCATTGCACGCTGACAGGCTGCGCCCAATCTCAGAGGCTATCATACAGTGCCCCTGGCAGCAGGCATGCCATCTGACAACAGAGACGAAGATCGCGGAGTAGTTGATATTTGCTCCGATAGGTGCCACCACCCTGCCAGCCGATGTTGGCCGCACATACCACAGCCAATCAGATCAGCAGCCTGGCTGACGTTGCGTTACCAGAGCATACTGTTCTGTGAAAGGGCGGTCGAAAACCCATTCGGCCGAGTCGTAGTGATCTGCAGTGATTTGCAGTTCTAAAGCATTGTAATTAGGGGTGTGCGAATATAAAATTTTCCGAATACGAATCGAATACAAATATTCATGTTCAAATATCGAATTGAATAACGAATATCAAAGGACAAATGCCTCTACAGTAACAATAATTTGAGATTTATCTAAAAAAATACACAACAGCCTGTCTGTTAACACAACATACACTGTTATTTGGAACACAATGCAAGTAATGACTAGCTGTTATCATGAAACATAATGACTACATGTTATCATGGAGGAATATGAGTTGCTCCACATGATCAGGCAGGAGGCGCTCCCTCTAAACAGACACAACCTCCCCTGCCACTGAAAAGGCACGCTCGCTTGGAACTGAAGTGGCTGGTATGGGCAAGTACTTGGGGCAAAGCTTTGCCAGACTGGGGTATCTGAAGGTGCCCACAGTCTGCCACCAGTCACATGGGTCACTGTCTTTCTTCAGTAGGGCTTCTTCAGAATACGCTTTAATTTCCCATTCTGAAGTAAACAGTGGTGTGCTTGCTACTTGACTATTTGCAAGATTATCAAATGCACTCTAAACATCAGAGGATGGCTGCACACACTGTTGTGGCTCCTGCACTTTTGCTGCTGGCTGCACGACTTCCACAGCAGGGCATAGGGCAACATCCTGAAGCACCAGATCTTTCAGCCACACCAACTTTTGTTTGTTGTTTCTCAATACCGTTGACTTGAAGCGTGGGTCCAAAAACATAGCCAAGCATGCTTCTTTGTCCTCGGTATATAAGGGGAATCTGGTATTGAGAGACCTTGCCAGTTCCTTATGAAAGCCTGTTGTGCCGCTAAAGTTGCTGAGGCAACTTAGCATACCAAAAATAATTTGTATCTGAGTGGAAAGTGATGGGTATTTTTCTGCGCTAGTTATCACAGATGCATCATACAAGGGCTTCAGTGTGTCCAGATATTCAAGAGCCTCTTTCCATTCTGCTGAGCAGAGACCATCAATGCTGCTACTTGACGTTGCCAGCTCAACAGAGATAGCCTCCTTCAAGTCCAAGAGGCGGGACAGCATTAGGTATTGGCTGTTCTACCTCGTATCTACATCTTGCACCAGACGAAGTGGATCTTCGCCCATCTTCTTCTGGTACTCATCTAATCTCTTTTGCGCAAACGAGCTGTTCTTATAGTGGCCCACGATGTGCCTCGCTTTCTTGCACAGACGGTCAATTGACGGTGTGTTGGAGATTGCATCGTGAATTGCTAGCTGCAGGGTGTGGGCGAAACACGCACGCTCAGTCCACGGGAGCCTTCTGACCGCGGCACGGATGTTGCGTCCGTTATCTGTGACGATGTATTTGCGGCAGCCATCCAGTATTTCCCATTCCGCGCACATCTCGACAAGCATTTGCGCAATGTTTTCGGTGGAGTGGCTAACAAGTTTTATGTGGCGAGTGTTAAGCGTGAACCGCTTCATCCTAAAACTTGGAGTGAGAAGGTGGCAAGTGAAGCTTACATAACTCTCGTAGGCGCGTGATGTCCACACGTCGCTGGTAAAGGTGACTGCAGATGTTCCCCCTTCAAAAGCACTGCTGAGCTCGTCCTTCACTTTCTTCCGTGTGTCATCAAACAAGCGCGAAACAAGGGTACGTGAAAGCGTGGTGTACGACGGTAGGCGATAGTTAGGCACAGCCTCTGCCATGAGTTCCTTAAATCCGCGGTCTTCAACAAAACTATATGGTTGCAAATCAAGCGCTACCATGGCAGCCACCTTGGCATTGAGTGCTTGAGTTTTCTTTTCCGACAAAGGGTCCGTACGGTGCACAAAATCAAATATCATTGACTGGTCTTTCTCTGGCGCACCAGCTGCAGTCATCCGGTACTCCTTCATCGCGGTTGGGTGCTGTTTTAGATGGTTAACAAGAGGACTAGTCGTACCCGTCAGCGTTTTAAGTGTTGCGCCGCATGTCTTGCACTGCGCCAACGACGACGATGTCTTCACAAAGTGCTTCCAGATAGCGCTTCTTTCCCTTCGTTTCGGCGCCGTGTCTTGATTGTTCCTCCGTTTCGCAGGCGAGTCGTGATAACCTCCGCTATCTGCCATGGCACTTATTAACGGCGCGAGTCCATCACAGGTTACAAAGGCTCGCGTCAAAACCGCACCATGTGCACCGCACACAAGCTAGCAGAACTGATCGTAGCGGCTGACAGCACTAGCCAACGCCGCTGACCCTACTAACGTAGCACTGTTCACTACATGGCGCACTACCACTACTCATGCGCTCTGGTGGCCAGCACTAAAAATATTTATATGCATATACAGATATATAAAACTGAAAGGTCGGCACATGATTACCGTTTCATATATTCAATATGTTTAGAATGCAGTCCAAGTTATTTAACGCATACTTGCCGGGAATACGACATAACTTAGCAATAAAATCCCGAATTGGGACTAAACGCTTTCGAGCATGTTGTATAACTGTGCGACTGCTCACGTGCCGAACTTCCTCGAAAAAGGAAATAAATGCGACGTCATGGTACAAATTACGACTAGAACTCTTTTTGTCACTTATGTTTTCTAACCGAAGCATTTGCCCACGGTGACGAAGTTTCTGCTTTGGCACGTGCATTCACGGTCGTGCGTTATCAAGCGATGTTTTGATGAGACAACGCGGCAACGGTTAAGCTTCGTTCCTGCACACGAGGTCCCGCATAGTGAACGTGTGATAGTGCAGCACGTTACGGCGGCATACGAAAAGCGTGCAATACGTTTACATGAACGTCAACTTTGCTGCTGATTGTTGAACGTCGCTGGCCGACATAGTGCCTCCGTGCACTTCTGACGCTTATCGCCCCTCTGGGAAACGTTTTAATATCTCTGAACCCAGCAGAAATATTAAAGAAGAGTTATTTTCCGCATGATAATTGAATCAAATATTCGAACTTTTCGAATACACTTTTTTTCGTATCGAATACGAATAGTGCGAATTTGATATTCGACGAATATTCGAAACTTTTCGAATATTCACACACCACTAATTGTAATAGATTACACAGGCTATGCAGAGAGCTAAAATTGGTCTGCAAATGAGCCTAAGACTTGGTCTACAGGCCCAACGTTCTTGTACACAATCGTCAAAACCGTTTTAGGATCCCTTTAAATGGGTCCTGAACTACTTTTTCATTTAATGATGACTGACCTCAGTATCAGAGTCTATTGCCTCATGAATCAATCACGACAAAATTTTTCTTATCTTTCAAACATGAGCAGAGTAATAAAGATTTGCCACATTCTCTTCCTTTATTTCGATGAGCAAGATGGAAACCTACACAAGGAGGGTTGACATGAGAGAAAGAAGCCAAGTCATACGCACGTCATGAAACCTTGAGCACACACCATGAAATGCACTAGCTCTCTCTCGGCATTAATTTGATGGGCAACAGTGTCACTAGTACCACAGCCGCTCAATAAAAACAAGGTGCGGCCTCTTGCATCACGTTGCCGTCAATAGGCGAGCCCATCTGGGCAGCGTTGACAGTTTCAGACACTTATTTAGGAAGGGCGCTGACACTCCACCCATCAAAGCGGGTGACACTTCGTGTTTCTATGTGATTGCGTGAGGATTTGTGCATGTCTGTGTGCCTTTCCGTGTGCAATCGTGTGTGGAAGAGAGCTTGCCTCATGTTTCCTGTGATAGAGTGCGATTCTTTTATGCCCGCATGCGTGGCAGACAGTTTTTTAATGGTGTGATGCCGCGAAGCTGTTGTGTGTCGCTGAGCAGCTTTAAAACGACACTGTTTTTAAGTAAAATGCATGCCCCTGAGATCTACAGTGTCGAGAAGTGTATTGTGATGCGTATTATTCTTAACAGAGCCCTTATTTTTGTCACAAACGAGCGCTGAATCGGACAAACGCTGCCGCTTCCAGACGACAGCATTAGCAAATCATTGCGCCAAGCGGAGATTCGCTAGGGCGTGCACTATAAAACAATAAAATGAGCATCAAAAGGCGCCCAGGGCATGCCCTTACCCTCTACACATGCAGCAGCCAACCAGCGCAGATGATGAGAAATCGAGACCTTGAATCGGGGCCTCTTTTGGGGGCGACCGTTTTCGCAGACGAAATGGCGAGACGAAACCCTTTCCACTGGCTGCCGCCATGGTACTTACGTGCTACGCACAGTACAATTACTTGAAATGTTCATGAAACTAGGAGGGATCCAAATTAGAGGTGTCGGAGGGTAGGACGAGTGGTGAACTTGGCAAAGAAGTTGTGATGTTTGAGCGGTGTGAGTGAGTCAAGTAGTGCAGTCAGTCCATGTTGAAGAATTGAGTTATGACGCCGGCTGGAGTACTTTGTTGAAGTGTGTCACCGGGATGACGACCAGTGCTGGAATTCATTTCAGCATTTCCTTGAAGAGAAATATTCGAGACACCTTCAAAGAATTGCGGAGTACACGCGTCTGGCGAGTATTTGGGGCCGCTAAGTGTTCTTGCGCACTTTATAATGCGTGAGATAGCATTTGCAGCGCGGTAAGATTGTTCCCGCTGTTTTTGATACCCTCCAAGTAATTTTACGAGTTATAATTAGTACCTGTCGAGTCTGCAAGTTTGTGTCATGCCTTTACAGAGATTACGTATTTTGTTTGTGCAGACTTTTGTTTTTTAATTCAGTCTTTGGACCACAACCACAGTTGTTTGTTGGTGCACTAGAAGAACCTAAATTTAAATAGTGCATGCTTTCGCAGTGTGTTTTGGTGGACTGATACGTCAGCCCTTGGAATCAGCCTGACGATTGCCTCCCCACGAACCGAATCAGTGACCCTTTTCATTTCAGGTGAGTCAAACAGACCGCATTCCGCATGGAGAGTATTGAGGCCTATATTCTACGAATGATTGGCCCTCCTAGGGCGAAGTGTTCATATATGTGGTGTAATAGGTGCTCCCAATAGCGATTCAGAATCGAACTTGTGATGTGGAGCTACGAAACACGTTACAGCCGAACTATGCTACAACGAAACTGACGGGGCACGGAAAAAGTTTCATTGAAGCTAAAATTTTGTTGTAGTGAAATTGAAAAAAATGTAGCCGATCTGAGCTAACAAAACAAAGGAACGTTTATTCTCAAAATTCAAAAAGTGAACGCTGCTTCCTATTCTTTTCCAGCAGCGTTACGACCCGATTCTCACCCATGAATAGCGAGGCCATGGTGAAAAGCATGCTGAAACGCCTACAGCCACTTTTGTGAACGAACCAAACAGTTGCATTAACACATTAACACCAGCAGCGGTCCGCCGTCAAACTCTATCTGACAACGCCGAGGTGGAGACAGGGTATAATGTAGCAGTGACTTTTGCCTTATTCTATGCCATTCTTATCCAAAACTTGCGGCTAGTTGATTTTGTTGATAATGCAGACGAACGAACAGCCACTCTGATTAGTTACCATACTGGTCAAGTGCGAACAAAATGATAAGCATCGGCATCGGAAAAAGCACCGTTCCGCGGTTGCACAAACCAGCTGCGTGAAGGAAATCAAACTTAGCAACTGAGCTTCAGCTTCGGATCGTCTGCGGCTCAAAAGCAAGCCAGTTGCAAAAGCAGGGCAGTCTCATTGCCATCGCTATCGAGCAATGACCGCGCCCACGCTTGCTGAACAGCAGCGGTTTCTAATGGTGCCAACGTGTGTTTTAGATTTCTTCGATGTGTTTTCAGGTTTTGAATATGTTTGAAAATGCATCAAAATGTTAAAGACTATGTTTACTATATAGCAATAAATATCTGAGCCTGGAATTGCATCGTGAAATTTCGTTCAAGCGGGACGGCAGAAGAAAAGCGTTCGTTGTGGCGACAATATTTATGCATTGACTCCTATGAACTGCTGACGAGAAACCGTGAATTTTTCGTTGTAGTGGAAATTTCGTTGAAGCGGCGTTCGTTGTAGCGGGGTTCAACTGTATTTACGACCTACTGTCTCGCGTAGAAATGTGATTGATTGATTTGTGGGGTTTAACGTTCCAAAACCACCATATGATTATGGGAGACGCCGTAGTGGAGGGCTCCGGAAATTTCGACCACCTGGGGTTCTTTAACGTGCACCCAAATCTGAGCACACGGGCCTACGACATTTCCGCCTCTATCGGAAATGCAGCCGCCACAGCCGGGATTTCATCCTGCGACCTGCGAATCAGCAGCCGAGTACCTTAGCCACTAGACCACCGTGGCGGGGCGCGTAGAAATGTGTGTGAAAGCGTTTCTCCTGAGAGGAGTGGTGGCGCCAGAGCGGGCGTGAGGTGAACTAGGCCCGTCCCGTCGCTTCTGTGGCACACAACAGGCTGCACCTTGTTTTGTATCCAGCGGCCGTGCCAGTACTGTGTAATGTCAGTACACTAGAGAATGCAGCACATGCTATGTGGCGGTACCCCATGGCAAGAAGCAAATCTGATCCAAATGCCGCTCTTGGTTTGTCAGCTTTCGGCCAATATCAGCAATCTGTTGAGCAATGCACAATCTGTGGTATGATAGCCCTACAAAGAGAGTGTACGGGCCTCTTGTAAGGAGAGGGCAGTTTACAAAGTAACAACTTCACACACCGGTTGTGAACTCTCTTTGTCATGCATGACTACAACATTTGGCTGAGCTGTTCACAGCAGGGACTGCTTTTTGCTGTAATTATTTTTTCACCAAACATGAAGGGTAGTTTAGGACCTCTTAAGGAAATTTCGCTAACAGAATGGCTGAGAAAAAAAATCTCGACAGTGCAGTAAGCAATGCAGCCAAACACATGTCATACCAAAAACAGAGGTGTTTCATTTAGTGTGAGAACTTTCAGTGCATTTTTTTATAGGTGACCTACAAGAAAGACTAAACTTTAAATTTATCTTCATTGTTTGCATAATAGGTGGTATGTCACACTGTGGTCACCAAGTCCTCACATCCAGTCAGAGCAGTCGATATCAAACTTCCAGGAGACTTGATGGTAGGTAAACTAGCCTTCAACGATGCAGACGTCGAGCATGCAGAACACAGACCTGCAGAAAAATGGTAGTAATGAGGCCGGAGAAGCAGCCTTCTATGCATGGCTATGGCTCATGGGCTGCATTCATATAAAGCACCAACAAACCACTATGACTCAAACTTTTTTTTATTCCTTATTAGCCTAATAAATTTTGGTTTAGCAGCCTGCTCACAATTGGCAGAGGAAGGAAGCACTAGTATTGTGAGGGCTCTACAGCCTCAGGAAATGCACTGGTGTGCTCGCACTTGCTTTCTTGAGGCCTTAAGACAGAATATGGCAGGACAGGAAACGTTTTTTAACTGTTTCATGCGTAGTCAAAAAGTGACAAAGCTTACAGAAAAAAAATTTGAAAAAATGGCTGTCACCTGCCCTTTCAGTCTCGCTCCCATCTATCTTGATAGTTGGCATGGTATGGTCAGTGCAGTGAAATGCTTCTGACCTTTCCCAAACATTGCTGTTCTGATACATGCCAAAAATTTCCACAAACCCACTTAGATTTCTGCACAGGAAAAAAATGATTTAAGTATTGCCTTGTACAGAAAGAAACAGTAGTAATTAGGTTTTAAAAAATGCTGTTTTAGAGCCCCTCACTAGCCATCGGCTAGATGTCAATAGAGTTGCTGAACACCATAACATGATCACTATAATCACTAATCACCTCTTAACTTTTTCAAGCACAGAAGTCCCTTTTTGGTAGAAAACAAAGTTTTATTGAAAAAAAATTGAAATAATTTGCAGAAAATAGTTCTCACAAGAAACAAAAATTTGGCAATTTTAGTTCAAAAGGTATAAGGTGGTCACCAGGTGACCACATTGCAGTAAGGGTCTACTGGTCACTTTCAGTGAAACTACAGCTCTTCATTTGTACAGTACACTCCTCTTAAACGGAACTCAAAGGGGATCCATAAAACAGTCCAATTTATCAGAAGTTTCATTTAGGCAAACTACACTTATTTAGAGGTGTTACCTTTATTCAAATTGCACAAACCTCACCTTACTCATGAGGATGAGTAGGAAAAAAAAAAGGAGTGAAGAGTGGTTTGTTTGGCAAGCTTGAGTTGTTTTTTTACAAGGTACGCACCCATGCCTGACAAACTAGCTAGAAATTCTGGACAAGCCTCATGCTCAAAATAGAGCTGCAAAAGTGCAACAGCTTTAGCTGATCGGTCTGGTGGCAACACTGCACTGGCAGTATCATCCCATTGCTGAAAGGTTGATCACCATCTTGCACTTCAGCAATCATTTCCTCAACAGTCTCTTGACGATAGGTACGAATATTTTCATCAATTGATTCGCAGTCCTGCAGCATAAAAAAGGCAGAGGGCACGACCTGACTAAATAGTGTCTCAATGTCGGCATCCGCAGGGCTTTTTCCTTCATCAGGTACTGCTTCTTGCACTTGAAAGCCAGCATGGTGAAAGCATCTGTGTATTGTTGTTGCCTTCGCTTGCTCCCAGGCACAAGCCAAAATGTGGATGGCTGCCAATAAATGTATGCTGTAGAATTTCCCGCTGCCTGCTCTAGCAGCATTTGATGGAGCATTTGTCTGAGGTAATGAACTTTATTGTTCTGAATGACCCCTTGATCTATCGGCTAGATCACACTCATTGCATAGGCTGGCAAGAACTCCAGAGTGATGGCTTGGAGTCCTTGAACCTGACCGTGGGCTAGGCAATTATTCACGACGAAGACAACCTTCCTGCCTTGCTTCGTAAATCGTGCGTCTTCCTCCTGAAGCCAGTTTATGAAAATGGCCATGGTCATCCACGCTTTTTCGTTCCCATGGTACGCAATGGGAAGGTGTCGAATGCCTTTGAAACAACGTGGGTGCCTTGATTTTCCTGTTACCAACAGCTTCAATTTCTCATCTCCTGCCATGTTTGCATCCTCCAGCACATTGATGCAATCTTTACTGCATTTTCCTCCGCTACAGGCTTCGCCTTTGAAGGTGAGTCTTTGATGGAAGCGCCTTATAGAAAAGACTTATCTCGTCGACAGTGAAGACATCTCGTGGCTCAAAGCTCATCAAAATTTCCTTAAGCCGCCCCTGTTGCCAGTCGGTGCAAATGTCCCTGTTGACTGCACCACTCTCACCTGAGATTGTTTTGAAGACTAGGTCATGGCGTGTTTTGAAGTGGCTGAGCCATCCGTCGCTTGGGACAAAGTTTTTAACACCCGTTTGCATGGCGATCTCTCGAGCTTTCTGCTTGAGAATAGGTCCGCTTATGGGCAAATTGGAATTTCGTGCCCGCTTGAACCACAGAAAACGAACTTTTTCATGTTGTTCATAAGGCACCGCCCGCATTCGTTTAGATGTAAAGGTCCCTTCTTAACAGTGCCTTCAATCATTTCACTGTCTTTCCAGATTCGCGACAGCGTCGATTTCGGGATGTATTTTTTCACTGCCTCCATCTAAAGCTGGCCGCTTCGATCGAGCTCGTGAAGAATTTGCAGCTTTTTTTCAAGCGAGAGTGCATGGTGTGGCCGCTTCCTTTCTATCGGGCTAAAATAACACCGTGATCCACCGCACTTAGCCGCACAAATAGGCCTAACGCACAATTGACTCGCCGACTCTGCTCCCACCATATTTTTCCTTCCTCCATGGCTCCCACAGCCACAAGCGAGAATGGCTACTGGATTGACTTGTCTCGATCTCGAGGTGTTGCCATGGTTGTGAGATTACCGTTGGCATGAGCGAGTGTATGCTGCGTTTAGAATTTGTGCCGTTTAACCATAGGTGACCAATAAGCCCTGTTTCGATTAACCGATGAATTTTACTGTGCAACACATAGAAATCCAGCCATATGAGCCCGTTTAGTTCTATTAATGAGGCATTTTCGTTTAAGTGAGTTTCGTTTATTGGGAGTCTACTGCATAGTCCTTTGCGTTAGCTACTCATACTACATGCCCTCCTGCACTATCAGTATAATAACAACAGCACATATTATATATCTAGAAAAACATCTCTGGTCCACCGTTTAGCGTGCCTTGGGGATGACAGCAGCCGGAATAAAGCAAACGTAACATGTCATACTGAATCCAAAATAAAGTAGCGTCATCTCTGTTATATTGCCGAACGCTTTAAAATATGCGCCGTAATCCGACACGCCGGGGCTCGTGCGTTTAAGAGGAAACAATGAAGAAAAGATGGTTACCTGGGGTGACCACTGTGCTGGAAAAAGTTAAGGATCAACTTGCGAAATTCATAGACAAACAAGACTTGTGAGACTGTTGACTACAGTTAAGTTGTGAACTGGCAACGGCACAATTTTGCCGATCACAAATAACTAGCAGTTGAGCATTAACAGTAGAGCACATAATACGGTAAAAGCTCTTTAATTTGAGATTAGCAGGACCAGTAAACTGTCAGCATTAAACGAATGCCGAATTATCAAAAGTACCAAGAAAACAGAAAATGTCCATCTCATCAATGCACTTTCATTTGCTTAAGAAATACATAAGCCCAGCAATTATTTTGCATAGGGGCAGTGCAAAAGCCTCAATTTTAACAATTTGCAACTTCAATCACACTGTGAGCATGTGTCTCAAGACACCGTGTCTTATTAAGCCGAAACGAGGTCTGGACTCGTACCTTACCAGTCACCAAAAACGTATTTTTGCATGGCGACCAAGTCTTTCCGAAAGCCTAGGCTGTCTGCGAACGTGGTATTACTGCTTTGCGTAGCGTACATTTGCGATGTTTCTTGCGCAGCGCACTTTGAATATGTGACTGATAACAAATTATTTGGATATGGTGTCAAGACTCGTCACTGTGACTTGTGGACCTACACTGGTCACACTGAATGCATTTTAAATTCATGCTTGTGAGCAAACCTTTCAACCCTGTGAAGGCCAAATTTTTTAGACGGTTCAATTACTTTATTTCAGATTTTCGAATGTAGAAATTGAGCAAAGTCAGGAAAAAGTTTGTTAAAAAAATAAGGAAGAGTATTTTTTTATATCAGCATGACTCAGAACTGCAAAATGTTTAGCAGTATTTCAGTGTGGCATTTCTAGAAACCCAGATTTAAGCTTTGGACTCGGCTAATGGAGCCAAATCAGAGTCTGAGGTGTCCTGGCCATCGGTGTCAAGAGAACTGGCAGTGCATTTGGCCATATCGTCAATTTGCCGTGCATCTGAACAACTCGAATGAAACTTGGTTAACAAGTAGAGCGAAGACACCTCGTGAGTGTCAGTGATAAGCAAGCCAAGGTCAGCACCAATTGAGACAGAAATCAACTTCTGCTGCCCCTGCAAGGGAGTGCTGATAAAGATAAAAATTAAGTTTCATGCACCTCCATTGCAATTATATGGCAAAACTGAAACCCCAAAAGGGTGTTGTTGCAGATAGCGTGCCGCGCTGAAGCTAGAATTCAGCTATACTTATCGTGTAAGAAGGCAGCGCAATCAAATTTAAAAGAATTGCACATGCTTTTAGTAAGTCCTAGGGTGTGGCAGTGAGCATTCATTGTCATTATGGCGCGAACTTTAAAACAGAAGGTTGAAACTATACCTGCGCAGCAAAGAAATAGAGGCTCTGCTGCAGAGCTGGCTTTTCTCTCACCTGCATGTTGGGCAAAAGCAGCGACTTCCTAACCAGGTCTCTGGGCGTGCTTGGTCCTGGCGGCTGGCAAACCAACGACCCATGCAATCCAGGCACCACATTGGTCGGCACAAGCAGCCCTGGCACTGGCCTACTAGTGCTTCATCACAGAGTTTCTGCAGCTTTACGTTGGCCGTTGTCTGCATGCAGCCAATGCACGGCTCCAGTTCCTGCACATGCAAAACCACCACTTGCCTCTTCTCCAGCTGCAAATTCGGATCGAACAAATCATAGAGCACTAACAACAACAACAAAAAAAAAAAAAAACTGAGCAGCACTGTTACCCTAACAGTTGGCACTTCTGATATTAGTAAAATAGTGAATTTCTGTAACTTTGACCTCGAGAGGACCAACAGAGCTGAGTATTTAGTGAGCTGAATTCAACAAGATTAACAAAAGCATCAAAGTATGTTTATGTTTAATTTAGCTACATTATTCAATTCAAGAGTGCCAACAAGTAACTAAGCAAATAAAAAAATGGCTGTATGAATAAAAAAAGCAAACTAAAGTAGACTATACAGCTTATATGTTTCTTTATCTGATATTTTTTTCGTTTTGGCAAAAAATTTAACATGCCTCCTATTTCGGTGATTTGAATATATGTGCACAGAATCTTTAACGGGGTCAGCAATTCATCACAACTACATTCTAACCATTAGTACGTTTGAAATGGGCACACACTGAAATGTTATCACTGTATTTTATGACCATTCCCCAATATATAAGAGGGAGTGATCGAGTGATTTTTCTTCAATAGACAGAACCTAACAAAAGACAACGAAGCTAAGTAAGTCATCAGGGAAACTATTTGTCTCCACTGTAGTAAAGTAATTGCGACATGAATGCAAAGAAACTAAAGTGGAAAAATATTAACTTGCTGCAGGTGGGGACTGAACCTACAACCTTAAAAATAATGCGTCTATGCTCTGCCAGTGGCAGTCACTTTTCTATCAACTATATTGGGTATTTATGTTTGCATAATCAAGGGAGTGTTAGCCAGCAGTGCTCGCAGCCTTAACAGCGAGTGTGGAGCACTTTTTTTGCCAGCTGGCCTCACATGCCACATGATGCTGGCTGACAAAAACAGAGTGCTCCATGCATGGCATCACTAACACAAAACAAGACCTGTATATTCATTCAAAGGCTAAAACAGAAACAAACAAGAATAGAAAAGTTGTTTACTTGCATTCACATACACAGTAGTATACAGTGGAATTTCGAGTAAACAAATTCCTTCAACGAAACAACTGCCACTAATATTATAGGTTTTATTGTTGAATTCTGTACCCCTGTTCATCCATCACTAAACGCAATTTTTGTTAATGGAACACATTTTGCTGGTTTCTTAGGGTCCCTTTAACAAATCTTTTAACTGACGAGCACTGAAAAGAAAGGCTGATGAAATCCACAATTCGAGTGCACCAAAACAAGTGAATTCAGAACAACAAAACTTGTGAATAAAAGGAACTTTCCACAAGCAACAGTGCAGTACCGCACATCACGCAAAGCTGGTGCATGTGAAACAAAGCCGCTTCACAAGTCTGAACGCCGGTCGATCTCTACGACCATTGTCATGCAGATGATTGCATGTGAAAGAGGCTTCATTAAAGGGACACTAAAGGCAAATATTACGTTGACGTTGATTGTTGAAATAGCGGTCCAGAAACCTCGCAGTGCTAGTTTTCTACCAAGGAAGTGCTTCTTTTAAAAGAAAACCACATTTTAATGAGTCAAGTTGCGTTATCGCACTTCAAATCATCCATGCGTGAAAGTGGTCTATTAGATGTCACTGTTTTCGTGCTCAACGTTGCCCACCTTTACTACGCGGCTACCGACCCCAGAAGCAGCAAAGCGAAAGTAGCGGGAGCCACATACATTTATTGTGGGGCAAATAGCAAAACTAAAAATAGACTAAATTAGCCCAGCTCGTACCACAAGTATAACAGGCGAGCGGGAGCCACAGTAGCAACAACGGCTACTGAACAATTTTAGGCTATCTCGGAGACCATGATCCTGCTTGCTTAGTTCAACTGGGCCTTGCTGGATGGCACCACCTATGCAGCCTAACCAGCTGAAAATGGAACTTTTGTACCACTCGTGCCATTTCCCATAGTAACGCCAGGCGGTTATTTTTTCTATAAATCAAACAGAAATGGGCAAGCAGCATTTTATTAGGTCTCTTGATGCATGGAAAGTTCTTTTTTTATTGCACCTAGTTTGGTTACTAGTGATTAATTGTAGGTCGACACTCTCACGTCATAGGTATCATTTCACAAATGTACCACTTATGGCACACATCATGTGATACATTTAGCTTAATTTCTTGATAAGTAAGGCACTGCTGTTGATAATAATGCCGTTTTAGAAACCATAAACTGAGCTTTCACTCTGACAAATGTCCTTTGCCTTTAGTGTCTCTTTGAGCCTGCCTGCAGGTGCATGCCATGATGCAGGAGAAGAGGGGCTAGATGCATGAATAAAAGCTTTGTTTTTCAAAAACCAGGACAGTATCTTAAAGATGCACATGTTATGCAAGAAAATAAGGTAACTAGAAGGTGAACTTATTTACAGTCAAATTATTGTCAGGTTAGTTACTGTCGATACATTTTACAAAAAATAATCTGTTTCAGAACAAGCTCCAGCAACTAAGCCCCAGGCAGCATCAGTACTTGTACTTCCATATGCACAGTGTTACATGGGTGCATGTGCTGAAATCTCAAAACAAGCGCAAAGCAAAAAAGCAAATGCTGAAAGAGCACACGAAGTTATTATACTAACCATGCCTGCTGGCAGCCTGTACCTAGAATTCTGTTCAACATGGCTTCTGAAGGCATCAGTAAACCTGTCGCTAAGACTTCGGTGTATTACAATATTGCGCACATTGTCTAGTGGAGCCTGCAGTTTTTCCTTCAGGTCATTGTACTCCATTGAATTCACCCTGAAAAAAAAAAACAAAAACAAAACATTATCCATATATTACCAATATGTAACGTAACAAGAAAATAGAGTAAAACAAATGGCTAGACGCATACGAATACTCAATTTGAACAGTATGATATTCAATTTGATTTGCAAGGCACATATGCTTTTCAAAATAAACTCAAACCTTGATATAATAAACTCAGATATAACGAAATATTGGTTATAACGAACTAAAGAAAAAATAGTTTTTCAATAGATATAGTGTAAAAAATAAACCTTCATAACAAATTTTCAGATATAAAAAACATATTCGTCTAAGATGCAATTTTGTTATAATGAGGTTTGAGTGTATTCCAACGGAAAATTTTTAAAGAATGAAAATAACACCCTAATTTTCACCAAATTTGATGCACAGATAGAGAAAATAATTTCAGTAGCCCTATTTCACTGATCATTGTTCATTTTTTCTCTATAGAATTCCGACTATTATGCTGCTGGAAACATTGGAAAAGATATGATAAAACAGTTGCAAATTTATGCAATGCTGAAAAACCATGTCATACCTGCCATCCAAGGTCTAGAACAGAATCCACATTTCTCCAAAATGACAAATTAACTCTTCCAATGTTTGCTATCAATGGTGTCACGAACCCTTCATCTATTATTACACTCCTACAAAATGATTAAGGCTTCATGGGGCAAAGACATGATTGAGAAAATGGATAAAAGTCAGGCTGTGCACGCTTTCTCAAGCTAAAGGTAAACACTCTCAAAATCCAAGAGTTGTTTTGAAGCATTTCAGCACAACTTAGGGTGGTGTGATCATCATAGAACCAGAAATCTCATTAGGCTAAGTTGGCACAGGAGTGGAATATCTGGTTAAAGAAAACCTCAACGAGGCCCTGACACCAATTTTCAGAGCAGAGTTTACTCCATCATAAAAATCTCCTGCATACAGAGACCACTCTAAGCAAATGTCAGTTCAGTAGATGCTAACAAGGTATTTTATTTTGATATTGAAGCCAATGTTCTTATGGCACAACTTGTGACATCATTACTAGCATGATTTCAGGCAACGGTATTAATACTGGAGACTTCACCCACCAGTATGGCTAGTTGTGATGACATCAGGTACCAAAATGTATAAAACGGTTACTTGTACATCACCAACAGAGTGGAGCAGCCATTAAACACATAATATCTGGTGTGAGCACACTATCAGAAGCTCATATTGTGCCACGATGTCAGGGTACTGCAGGAACCAAAAATTTTAAAACATGTCAATAATTTTTCAGGGTGCACTCATACTTATCAGTACATTTCCTAGGCTTTTCAGTGTGTCCTTTCATGTGACAAAAAAAAAGGTTTCATCCTAATTTTCATCACATGCACTATGGTATTCCAAAAATCCCTCACACGAAAACACCTACATAACACAAAACTCCATTTCAATATCAAGTAGGAAACTACCTTATGGAAAAGAATGGTATTCCAGGCCTGCGACTCTTGACGAGTATGTCCAGGTACTGAATGCCCATGCCACTGACATGTGACACAGAGTGCTCGGCACTGCTCACCAGTTCCAGCACCGCATCTGTCTGTTGGATAAGATGCAAGTCGTATGGTGTAGCTTTGATGATCCATGAATTGGTCACTACAGTGCGCGTGAGGGACCCTGCACCACTGATGAACTTGTCAACCTGCTCAAAAACAGAAAGACTCAAATTAAACAAATAATGAGGGAAAGAAAACTTGTTTAAAGGACACAAAGCAGCCTGTTTCCCAACCCTGACAACATGTAAAACTCTCTAAAACAGCAAGTGCTCATCATGTTATACCTACCAACGAGTGACATGGGCAGCAGAGAAAAAATGCTTAGCAGATCTTTTAATTTGGTAGGTGTCAGACACCCCCCTCCTTCCAAAATGCTAATTATGCCACTGCACCTGAAAACATTTATGGCCATGATGCCACGGACTATGTACTCATATTGATAGAGGAAAAAAAATGAGCAGAATCAGTACAAGAACTTCACCACAGCAATACAGAAAGTACACATAAAGTAGGCAACTGGCATTCGAGTCTCTTGATGTCACATAATCAAAGGTACTGTATGGACGTAAATTAAGTGCATACCTGCCAAGTTCAAGGATTCTGAATCCGGGAGATTTCTGCAACGGGGGGGGGGGGGGGGGGGCAAAAAAAAAAACCAAGAATAACAAGCAAACAAGAAAACATCGCCAAAGCAAAAGGGGTGGGAGGGGGGTCTCAATCGCAAGCGCCACCATCAGCGTTGTGGTCTTATAGTGGCTAGCAGTGGCCGAACACACGGGGATAGAGTTTTTCACTAAGGTGGGAGTCTCAAAGGATCAACAGAACTAGCAGAATATATTTCAGTCAAAACAACTCGCGTGCATCTTCCTGGGACACAAGTGAACAGACGGGACGGCGCAGCTCGCTGCCGCACAAGCGCGGGTCATAGCTTTGCTCACTGCTAGATTCTTTTGACAGGAACGCCATAATGCGTCTGGTCCCTTTTTATTGCGATAGCAATTATATGAACAGTCCAGGCCATTTTTTTTTGCCGTCACCATCGCCGCTGCCTTCACCGTATATGTATAGTACGTATCTATATATATATATATTAACACTCCAAGAAAAAAAGCCGCCCGCGCTTGGCATCGAGCTCGTCGCGATACGCCGACGCGTGCTTATCTCGCATATGTACTTTGCCCCATGGATGATGCCTGTGCGTGCGCGCTTATCCTTTGGTGGGAGAATCGTGCGCCTTCGGCTTTCACTGAAACAAAAGCGTTAGTTGCCGGGCCCACAAAGGTGACTTCGGTCTCTGCACAGGCCTCTTTCACAAAAACAGCGTGCTTTTCAAACACAGCGAGGTATAACTGGGGCACTTGTTAGTTTGCACTCATCTGTACCTGTGATTTTGTATCGTGCATTGTTTTTGTTTAAACAGCGCGGTACGTGTCGAGCGGTAAACACTGTTAGTTTGCTTTCATCCTTTGAGTATCGTTTTCGTGCGTCATTTGTGTGTGAGCAGCGCACTGCACGTTTCGATCTGCTTGCCGTTCTCAGCGTTACATTTGAAGTTGTTGCTGTTGCATTTATTGGTTCACCCTTGCGGCAAAACTGTAACTTTTTTATTTTTACGTATTTACTGCCTTTAACCTACCACTGCGTGCCCTCCAAGCTCATAGATCGCTATCACATCGCCGCGACTGCGGTTTCGTGCGCGGTAGTTGCAGCAAACTGCTGTTGATTTTACAATCCCCATGCGCTTGGCTGCGCACGTGCCTTCAAAACTAAGTCATTTTATGCCATCTACGATAGCATCTGCCGCAGGTTTGTTCGCAGAGTTTGCGGAAATCAGCGTTGCTTTGACTGGTTGAGCGCGCACACTTCGGGGTTCTCTCAGTTATGTCATTGCCATACATGATCTTGTCAAGAGCGGCCGCGATTTCGTCCTCAGCGGTTGTGGCAACGACAATCATACGCACTGCCGTGCGCCGGTGGCACGCGTACTTCCAAAGCTTTGAGTACGCTGCTCTCGGCCTTCGTTCGAAGATTTCCGTACGAAAGTTCGTATCACCCACCTCGATTAGGAAATGTTTTCAGAACATTCGAATTGAGGCCTAATGAACTAGTAACACTTGGCTGGGAAATTTAAGAATTCGTATCTGCAGCGGTTTCGCATCACTGAAATTATGCTGTATGTTTACATGAACGCCTTTTAAACTCATTTATAATAAAATGGGGTAGGTTCGCAAAGCCTGGAGTGGATTTAGCTGCTTTTTTGTCAATGCGGCCAGATCAGGCACAGAAATTTCGATTTCCGGTAGATTTTCATGACAACCGTACAATCAGAAGAAACGGTCAAAATCCAGAAGTCTCCCAACCAATCCGGGAGACTTGGCAGGTATGCAAGTGGAAAAAGTTGTCAGGAAGAAGTTGTGGCAATGGGGTGCAAGCTCCTAGCACTGTCAACAAAAAGTCTCAGGCTGGTACTGTCATCATCCAATGGCACCACCATGTGATAGGCTCCTCCAATTTTTGGGGTTTGGTGCAATATCTCATAGCACTGAAAATTCTTATTTTATCAATTTCAATTTTTTTACTCAATGTTCAAAGCAAATTATAAATGTACACTGAAGCATGCAAAAATGTATGTATGTGAAAGTAAAGGCCAGCCAGCTATGGCCAGTGGTGGCTGGCTAATCTTTACATTATTGCAGAAATGTGTGCCATAAATGTGTGATTATGGTAGTGAGTTCACAAACAATCAAAATAAAAGATGAAAATACAACATAGCTATGTTGTCCAGTCATTATTTTGCGTGCCATTTTTACTGCTGATTTCATTCTCATGAATGCATAAATAAGTTAGTGTTGTGATGTGGCATATCCGTTTTCTTTCTCTTCCTTTCTAGCACCTTGACAGATAAACTGTCACTCCCATGGTTAACAATTGTTGTAAGGTGGCATCACCTCATTGATAGCATTAAGGATCTAAACCCACCTGGGAAAATTCTGCATTGATGCGCATGGCAATCATGTGCCATGGGCTGCCATACTGCAAGAGTCGCTGGGTCACAGGGTGCCGGGCCCAGTCTGCCATGGACCATGTGAAAGCTACCACAATACCTGCTGTGAACACCAGGCAAGACACGGCCAGGCCAGCCTGCCACAACAGCTTGGACTGCCATAGCTCCACCAAGCTGTCATCTTCAATCAGGTTCATGAAACCAAAGAAGTAACCTGGGAACAAAATTTGCCACACAGTCGACACAAACTTCCCAATGAACCACTTGACTGGAGCCATCACAAAATGGGCTACAAGGAACACATCCTTATGGGGAGGGATCTTGATAACTTTTAATGAGTATTTTTGCAACCCACTTGCATCAGAACATGAAGAAATAGAGTCACGGCAATGAGTCAATGTCATATGTAAGAGTGCTTTTGCAAGCACAAATATCAGGGCGTATAATATCTTTCTATAAATAGCAAATTTAATTTGAGGCTGGTTGAATGAGAAATTTACTGCAATTTACCAAGCTGTTATACGGTAGTTATTAGAAAAATATGCCTTATTTGATGTTTATGTGCTTTCAGTTGATTAATTGCTCTTGCACTGCCAATTGCTATCCTTCAGGTTAGCTCAAATGGTAGTGTGACAATCTAGGAGAGGTGTTGGCGAGCCCCTGAACAGGGATAATTTCACGCCAACCAGGAAGCTTATCTATTTCAGAAATTGGTGTGAACTTCTTTGTAACTTGTGCTGCTAACAAGTAGATGGCAATACTTCTTCTTATAACTTCTGTGTGTGACAAGTATGAAATATTTTATCAGTAATCTCGAAAGTATGACACAAACCAAATTTTATACTACAAAATGACCTAGACTGCTGTCACTCATCCCATTAACAATATTTCATTGAGAATACACCGTTATGCAAGGTCTTTTATAGGCAATATAACAGAAGCAGGGAGAAAATGATTCCAGATGTTTTTTTTGCATCTTGTAAAATGAAGTTCCCCTAAAATTTAAATGCAATGAAATGTAACAACAGAGATCTCAAGGGATTCCAATGTCGCAAAGCAAAGGTCTGCTTAATTTGCTTTCATCACCAGAACGGGTCGTGTGAACAATCAAGCAATAGCGTGCTTTGAGTTGTGACTCCACTGAAAAAAGTTTAATGCTGATTGCTGGCGGTCCCAGTATGGCGCGCAAAATGTGTGGTTATGGAGCAGGGGCACCGCACGCAATGTCATTCTTTGAACTGCACTTACGCCCATCTGAGTGCACATTTCAGAAACAGATCATACACGTGATTCGCCACCTCGAAAACTTACATGGATGGTGGACATTAGTGAGCAAACCACAAGGCCTGCCCCACATCGGTATATTGGCTGTCGTTCTTAGTGTAAGAGTGTGCCTGCCCCACTTAAATAGGGCAGCACCACTTTCAAGGCTCTCATGCCCTGCTATGAACTAGTTCAGAGTAGTGCTGGCAAATCAAATGGACCTTCGAGCGCATGTGTAACAGCAGGTGCAAACATAAAATATTATATGACTTTGCTATATTTTATGCTAAAAAAAATAACAATAATAATAATACCCAGGGTTCTATGTTGGAAAAGCACAATAATATGGTTATGAGAGATGCCATAGTAAAGGGTTCTGTAAATTTTAACTATCGGGTGTTCTTTACTGTGCACTGTGATTGCACAGAACACGGGCTGCTACCATTTCGCTTCTATCGAAATGCAACCGGTGTAGCCGATATTGAATCCACGACCTTTGGGTCAGCAGTCGAGCACCCTAGCCACTGATCCACCGAGGCAGATTGATTTCATCATAATATGCTGAGCAAGCGTACCCTCCTCTTTTTGGGGGGGATATTTGAAATTAGGGACAAATAAGCCAATGACGGATCCGGGACTGAGCAAGCACCGCACTCCTAATCTGGTTAGATTATCCTTCACTCTGGTGGGGCACTCGCTCATCATTTCACAGCATATTCCAAGAACTAGTAAATGGAAAATTTATTTCCAAAAATTATTTCTTTAGCTTAATGGCGTTAAGCTCTTTACTGGAGTCCAAGCATGCACATCTTTATTGCACACATTTTGTTTAAAATTTCAGGCTTGATGCTTCCGAGACTCAATCTCTTCTGTTCATTTGTGTATTGTGCCCTTGGAGACAAGGTCAGATTTTCCCTACTTAAACTTTCATTAAACGCAATATATTTTGACAATTTCAATTATCTATGACACAATCTCCAGTTGACCCTGCTTTCCGCCACAGTGGTCTCGTGGTTAAAGGCCAACTTCGGCAAATTTTTAGACCATGTCAAGGTAACAGTGTTTCTATGTTCCTGAGACACTCTTGTCACGAGCTCAATAGCTGAAATGCTCAGAAAAATTTAAAATTATTTTTAATAAGCAAAAAGATGCAACACGGCAACCCAAACCCAACCAGGCGCCCTGTTTGTGTATGACGTATTATTTGGTAAAAACCGGAGGCCGTATACTGGTCCCACTGGCACAGTGTATGAAAACTGAAAACGCCAGACCAGCGAAGCGCCGGCCAAATACCACAGCGGAAGGAAGAAAGCTTTCCAGTGTTATACCCGTGCCAAACACAACCACCGTTGCCTTGTAGCCAGCTCTATAAACGCTGTAGCGGCCAAATTGGTGATGCCATCGGCTGTGTCTCTTCCGAGAAAGCCAAATTCTGTGAAATGCCAAACATGATGCCACACAGACAGTGTTGCCAATAATTCTGACAAGCAAGGTGAGCCTTTCGAGGCAATCTTTAAAATTCATTTGCAAACAGTCAGCGCATCTCTCAAGCCTGTAATTTGGCATAAATGATGAAAATGTGCAAAGGAACGTACCCAGCCAATTTCATTGACACCCATTGACCTCGAAAAATCACCGGAGTTTGCCTTTAAGGTGCTCAAACAGTTAACTCCACTACCGACCATGGTGGTCTACTGGTTAAGGTGTTTGCTGCAGAGACGCAGATCGGGGGATCGAATTCCGCCGCGTTTTTGATGGAAGCGAAAATGCCCGAGGCCCCTGAGCTTAGATTTCGGTGCACGTCACCACGGCGTCTCTCATAATCATATCGTGGCTTTACGACGCTAAACCTCATCAATTATTATTGTTATTAGTTAAATAAGCTGCCAAAAAATAGTTATGTAAGCGATTACGCTACAATAGCGCTGTGTCCGCGTCGCTCTTTGTCCTTGTCCGTTAGCGCGCTAAAAAACGATACATCGATTTACCAACACTTCTTTCACGTCATGAGGCAACTTAGACGTGGCCGCGCAGACTAACATTTCGAACGTTTATAAACTGCGCAACGACGAATCCAAATTCTCAAGTTCGGTTTTGGCTTTTTCTTGGGCAAGTCTGCTGCGCATCGCATTCACGCGAGTGACGAACCGCACGTCGCTAAACACCAACACTCGTTGGCCCGGCGCCATTTCAATTAACTTTTACTGCACGGACGTCGGCCAGTGTACCTCAACACGAAAGTGATGATAAAGGAGTATTAGAAGCCTTCGCTTATAATACGGCGCTGTCCACATCCTTAAATACCAAGGCTTACTCACGCGCAAGCTAGCCGCTAATGCGCGAAAGGACACGTCACTTCTATTCCAGTCATCGAATTTCGAGGATATGTTCACGACGAATCGATCACTGTTCGCGAGTGCGTACACTGAGCCGGCAGAGGTGTCGTTCCCGAAAATATCGGCAACACACGGCGTAAAAAAAAAGAATGCTTTAGAAAACAAGACGTTACCTAGCGGCAGAAAAGTATGGACGATAACAGTCAACAGTGTCCTCTGAATGTGGTGCTCAACGAACTTCACATCCTCTTTGTCGATGAACCTTCCGAAGAGATGTGTAAGAGTCAAACCAGCCGTCACAAATTCTGTTGGTGGCGTAAGGATATAAACACATATCATAGCATACACTACACTAAACCATACCGCCTCAGTCGCCATGTTTATTTACACTTAGACGTTGCTGGCTTGGCTACGTGCTCAGCATTTTTGAAAGAGCTGAAAAGTAGCCAATAAAATAGTTGGTCAGTCGGGCGCTGCTTTTGGTTCATCTAGAATATGGTTTATAACCAAGAGGCTAAAATAAAGTATAGTACCTTGCTATTAATAAATATTGAAGTTTAACGTCACAAAATTACCACATTATTATGAGAAACGCTGTAGTAGAGGGCTTCAAAAATTTCGACCACCTCAGGTTACCTAAATCATAGTACAGCTTGGGGGCCACAACCATTTTCACTTCCATCAAAAATGTGGTTGGGACCCTGGGAATCGTTCCCGCGACATGCGGTGGCTCAGCAGCCGAGTACACGAAAGCATACCCCTCAATATTTGAAAAAATAAGCTGATACGCTAAAGTAAAATTTAATATATAGCCAGAATAAAACAGTAAGGTAATAATATTTATGCCGCTAAAGTAAGGTCGACATATTATGCTTTTACACAAAGTAAGACGTTTACCTTTTGTTCTGTCCACGATGTAAGAAAGTATTCTTCCATCGTGGCTGTGTCTAACGTTGATCACAACCAGCAGGCGCTAGAAGAGGCGCTTTTCCCCTAGCAACAATGGCCTGTGGGTTGCAAAAACTTTTTTTTTTTTTTTTGTTCTCGCTCATTTGACTGATTCGACTTCATTGATTACTTCGGTGAGGATGCTGTGGACATGCTGAGGGTTTAAGTCATATAGGCCCCTCGTACCAAGGCTGCTACACGGTAAACTACAGTATATATGCTGTCTGAATTGTGCTCGTGTGTGTGCTTGTGTGTGTGTGTGTGGTTGCGATTTGCAAGTATGCATTGGTTTCGCATTTTAACGATAGTGTTACCTACTTTTTTGGAGGGGGGGGGGGGGAGAAAACGCCCACGCAGCTTTATTGTATTGCATTGCATTTAGAACACTGAACCAACGCCTCGTAAGGAGGAGGCGTTGCCTCGGCAGATGTAACTGCTAACTCGTTTGGCTTGAGCTGGTTGGCGGCGCCGTTGACAAATGCTCCGTTCTTATTTTGCAGCCGTGGGTACGTGCCATGGCATCTAGCCCGAAAAGTAAATATATAGACGATCTCAGAAAAGCGGCATCAATGGAAGCGGGTTCTGCCGAGAAAGAGAAAACGAGCGAAGCTTCCGAAGAAAAATTGTTCGGCACTGACCCTGAGAACACCGAGGACGATGGCGCGGAGGACTTGTACGTTTTAGATGAAGAGGAGCTCGAGAATCTTGAGAAGACAATGACTGACGATGAGAAAAAGGTAGAACAGTGAGTGATTTGTTACAGTTCTTGCATGGGTCTAGTTCTCGCTGTGAGAATAGCCACCACCACTGATGTGATACAAAACACATGATACTTGGCTGACTCGTGCACAATAGTTGCTAAGCTTTCAACCATTGTATGTTCACCAATGCTATTCAGTCAGGAAATAAACTGCTGCTGCTTCATAAACATCAAGCTCAAGTCTACTCATGAACTCGGCTTGGTTCATACCTTCAACCTAATCTTTACTTTGCTGGCACATTCGTGCCCAAGCCTGCTTATTGCTAACCATAATTGGGATGAATTGTTATTATGGGCTTGACTTCTGGCTATAGCAGTTCTCTCTTATGTATGGGGCTGTGAACTAGTCAAGTTGTTTTAAAACAGACTTTTTTCTTTACTGCAGAAAGAAAAGTAAACTGATTTGATTTGATTAGTGAGCCGTACATATTTTTCACAGGCCAACAAGGAACGTGCACTAAGCCTTAAAGGAGATGGCAATGTGAGCTTCAAGGCAGGCCAGTACCTTGATGCCATGGAGGCTTACACACAAGCATTGAAGATATGTCCCCTCTCATCCTCAGAAGAACGCTCTGTTCTTTATTCAAACAGGGGTGCCACATGGGCGAGGCTGGTGAGTATACAAGTCTACGAGGGAGTATACGAGTCTTGCTTAAAGGGATTATTTCTGTGTTTGTGCATTGACTATACATAACTTTCAAGTACTGTTAGTTCCTGTCTTTCGTTCGCCATCACCAAGCTAACGGATCACTTACGTCTTGGTGATTGCACCATGTTTTGTTCCTGCTGCAAATTGTTTGGCATAGTGCACATGTTTTGATCATTTGCCTTGTTCCTGTGACCAAGGAAAATCGTTCAGGGCATTATGCTACCTGCAGCAAAGCAGTGTTGACTGGTGAACTCAGAGTGTCTGTGTGTGCAGTGCATTGTTTGGGAGTTGCCACTCTGGAATTGGGGTGACTCCGGAATCATTCTACCTTTTCCTTATCCAAAATGAAATTCGGACAGTGATCGAAGGGAATGAATGGAATTATGTGCCTTTTGTACGGAATCGAATGGAAATTGAATTGTCTTTTTCCCAAAATAAGAGCGTGCTCTTTTTCTAACCTCAGACATTGGTAAGTCAGACCCTCAAATTTAACAAGCAGTATTTTTTAAATTGGCTTGGCTGATTTTGGCGATACATTCATCAGCAATGCACTTTCTACAATTTTCTCCTTATAGAGACTGTGTTGCTCCAAAGTTTGTCTCTATACTTCGAAAAACTGTGCCTCTATGCAGTTGGTATTCATCGTGAGATATTACGATATTAGATGGCAGCATATTCCCCCCTTATGCCTTGCGTTTTTTTTCTTGGCGTCACTTCAGGCTCCTGCCATCTCCCTTCACTGTTCTGTTTTTGCTTCTGTCGTTGTCGACGACTCAGACGCATATTTGAAAAGGCGCTTCTCTAAGTTCTTATGCATATTGACGCTCCCACGATGCTTGTGTTCACTGGCTTGCAGGTCGTCTCGCCTCATACCCAACCTTCATTTTCGAAGACAATGCACTTGTGCCCATAAGTAGGCAAAAAATTTAGGGCTCACGCAGTTGCTCATGAAACATATCTTGCCCTTATGGCTCACTCGGGCCGTCACTTACCGATGTTTTTCTCAAGCGAACTCGCTTAAACTCTCGCTCACTAAAATTTTCCTCGATCGGACCCAAGCTCGCCAAAATATTAGTGACCCAGGATAGCTCAAACTCGCGGTTCGGTCTGAGTGGAAATGTGAATTTTTAAAGTAAAGTCGGCTATTTTAACTGACTAATGCAGGTTTTGTGCCACTACCTTTGTCATCTCTAACATCCTGCCCTTGGCACAGCATAGCCAAAGTCACTTTTGTGGCAATAAACCCAAAGAAACATATTTAACGAACACGATGTTTCTCGCTAACTGCTGGTTATGACGCTGTTAACTTTGTGCTTGCTATTGTATACACATACGATCAGTCAGTCGTGTTGGCAATGTGCTGCAATGTTGCATAGACATAAAGTGCACTGTGCAAAAGGTGACAGAGGCTAAGAAGACGTTATGTACTATATAGGCAAGTGCTGTGCACTCTATCATGGATTACAATGTACCTGGTCCCACATCTTTCGAAGGCTTGTTGTACACACACACGATACGCATACATGTGTCTGCTAGAATTCACCTATATCAACTTGCCTTGATTGATATGGGGGGTTCAACGTCCCGAAACCACCATAGGATTTTGAGAGACGCCATAGAAGAGGGCTCCGGAAATTTCGACCACCTGGGGTTCTTCAACGTGCACCCAAATCTGAGCCCACGGGCCTACAGCATTTTTTGATGGAGGCGAAAATGCAGCCGCTGCAACCGAAATTAGATCCCGTGACTTGCGGGTCCGCAGCCGAGTACCTTAATAGACCACCGTGGTGGGGCGTATATCAACTTGCCTAAAGTCTAGTCTGTGTTGGACGTATATTGCAAGTTCACTTAGTTTGTTTATGCAAATTGCATACAAATAGTACCCGTTCAACATTATTAAGGAATTTCGCTGTGATGGAGCTGTGGTTCTGCTCAGCTGCTGACCTGAAGATCATGATTTCAATCGCGGTTGCGGTGGTCGCATTTTGATGGAGGCAAAATGCTGGAGGCCTATGTACTAACCGTGCAATGCCAGTGCACGTTAAAGGGGCTCTGCAACATTTTTTTGAGCGTGGTCAGAAAATGCTGCCGATTGGTAATCGAGGCTCCCAAGAAAACGTGAGCCAAATATTATAGTGCTGCACATGGTCTGAAATTCATAATAAATTCTTAGTCAGCTGGCAATTGCTTCCTCTTCTCTTGACAGCTCCGCCGCGGTGGTCTAGTGGCTAAGGTACTCGGCTGGTGACCCGCAGGGCGCGGGTTCGAATCCCGGCTGCGGCGGCTGCATTTCCGATGGAGGCGGAAATGTTGTAGGCCCGTGTGCTCAGATTTGGGTGCACGTTAAAGAACCCCAGGTGGTCTAAATTTCCGGAGCCCTCCACTACGGCGTCTCTCATAATCATACAGTGGTTTTGGGACGTTAAACCCCACATATCAATCAATCTTCTCTTGACAAATGATGATACAAGCTTAAAAATCGCTAGTCACAGCCATTGTATCAGCCGTTGGTTAATTTGAGCATGGTGCGCTTGGTCATCACTCGAGCTGCGGGTAGAGGCCATGACTTGTTTATGCGCACTCTTGCAGGATTGCACTAAATATTGGCGTATTCGAAAAAAAAAAAGGAGAGAGAGAGAGAGAAAGCGGTCAAGGTTACGAGGCGTTCGTTACTTATTTTTTCTTCCCCGTGCCATCCCTCCCTGCTTAGCTTTCAGTGCTTTCACCAGGATGAGAGAAGAGAGAATGCAATTGTTGTGTATAACAAATCTTTGTAACACTGCTAGTACTAGACCGATTCTTAAAATATTTTGTGGCGGTAAATTTGTGAGCCAATAAAGCTTCTTTAGTGAATGCATTTCGTGGCTACTTAAAAAAGTGTTGCAGGGCCCCGTTAAACAACCCCAGAAGGTCAAAATTTTCAGAAAGCTTGACTACAGCGTCTCTCGTAATCATGTCGTGGTTTTGGAACATAATGCTCCAGATATTAACATTATAAAGGCATCTTGTTTGGGTTTTTTATTTTATATTTATTGTTTCTGTCTAGCTTAACTATATTGCTTCCCATTGCAGGAAAAGAAGAAATTGGCAATAAAAGATTGTACAAAAGGTGAGTGCCAATTTCATAAGCTCAAATTAGTGTACTTTATGAGGGAGCTTCACCACTAATTAAATAAGAAAACTAGGGGTACTTTGTCACGGCATTTTATGTGCTCTTTAGAGGTGGCCAGAAATTTGCCAAGCTAGATTAAATGAATTTTTTTAACTGGAACTTTCTGTGCGCCTGATACTGGCTCCCACACCTCCCAATCCCTTCTTTCTTATAATTTTTTTCTTTTGTCAGCCATTGAGCTAAATCCCTCCTATTTGAAGCCTGTCTTAAAGAGGGCTTGGCTCTACAAGGAGACGAAAAATCTGGATGAGGCTTTGAAGGACTACCAACACATCCTGGAGCTGGATCCCAGTAATGGAGAAGCGAGGCATGCATGCATGGTGAGGCATTGAAAACTTGTACTCTTTGGATAATAGTATTCCCAAAATGCCTTCGTCATGCATGTAAGTTAACTAACATTTAGGGAAAGTGCACATTAGCGCACTTACTGTCGCTTTGTCAACATGCTGCTGCACAGAAAACCTTGTCCTTGGGAGTAAATCATGGTGCCGGCTGGCGATTCAGTAGCTGCAATGTATATACACTTAAGCCTCGATGTAACATACTCGGATATAACGAAATATCGGTTATATCAGAGTGTTGTATTTATTCGCATAATTTATACACTTTCTTTCACGGTTTTGGGGCTCCGAGAAGGGTGTGCGCAAATTACACGGGTTTTTCGCAGACGCACACGGCATAATGTGCAATAGTCCTAAAGCATGCACTATATACACTAAAAATAATAAATGGATGCACAAACAAAAAGTATACTGTTAATTAAACAGAATTAGCACGTACCTCAACCAGTCTGATCCTGTCACGTGCGGTCTAGTCCGAATCACTGATTGAAAGCATGCTGTAAGAAACTAGGTCCGACGACACGGCAATACTAAAAGACCTAAGCGTTTGCATATAAGAGAAACGGCCTTCTTCAGTGGCAGAAAACTTCTATTAGCAAGGGCCCACTCTTCTCCTGTACCATTTGCACCGGCCGTGATACGTTGAAGTTCACACTGAAGTGCTCGGCGGTGGCACGGTTCTAGTTTTTCTCGGCAAACTTCTCGACAGCGAGCTTGAATTTAGCCGTATATATATAATTATCGCAGATCATCGCAAGAGAAAAGTAAAAAAAAACGCCAAGCCTGCGCAGAAGACGCAGCACAGTCACAGCAAAAGCTAGAAAAGCAACCTTTCAGTGCCTTTTCAAAACAATCATTGAGTAACTACTGCAAGCACACTTCTTTGACACCCACTAGGGCATTGTTCATAAATTTTTTTGGTGGTAGGCCAGCATTCGCTATTTTTCATCATTCCTCTGAGAAGCGTGGTATCCGCTAAACTATTCGAGGAATTTTGTGCCAATTTTTCATGCAGTGGCTGACGACGATGAGGAGTTAGGCCTGAAGTGAGTATGGGCCACAGTTATTAGGTCATAGAGAACAAGCTTTTGTAGTAAGTTGGAGCATTGGACGACCCACTTGTTACACTATTCGCATAGTGTGATGCCTGGTTGTTCGTTTGCTGTTGTAAAACGCTTTGTTACTCATAACATGATTGCGTTCCTGACATCAAGCCTCCCTAAGGCAAGTTTGCGAACAAGTCGCAAGCACCGGTGCAGCTCAGTGGTGGAATGCTGGGCTAGCACCCAGTGAACCCGAGTTCGAGCCCCGCTGTGTCATTGGTGCTAGTTTTTTTTTTCTAATTTCGCGCGATATGGTTACGGACTCCGGTGGTGGCGGCGGCGGATAACTGCGCGTGACCAGAGTTGTGATCTCATAACAACTATTGCTGTAAAATGCCTAAGGTACTTGGATGCCGATCTGCAGATCGCAGGATCGAATCCCGGCTGCATTTTCGATGAAGGCGAGAATGCTGTAGGCCCGTGTGCTTAGATTTGAGTGCACGTTAAAGAACCTAAGGTGGCCGAAATTTCCTGAGCCCTCCACTACGCCGTCTCTCATAATCACATGGTGATTTTGGGACGTTAAACCTCACATAATTAAATGAATTAGTAAAAACGCGATGGATAGATGGTGAAACCAAAACTTCAGAATTCATCCAAGTGTGTGCTGCAGTGCGGGTGCAGGGAACAAGGAGAACAGTTGGCGCGAAGAGGGCTCGCACGCCTCCGATGCAGAAAGTTGTCCGTGCCGTGACGCGAGCATACGTACTCATGGTAGAGATCGTAGAGATAGAGGAGGGAGGCAAACGCTCAAACACTTCCAGCAGGTACAATATTCTAGGAACCTTAGTTCAGGGGAAGTCCTCGAAAGAAGAGGCTTGGCACTCGCAGCCTTTTTTATTGCGTTCACCTGCTTGGCGAGGCGCGCGTCTGGCGTGCCCTATCGAGTCATCCAAAGGTTCAAAGTCTGTTCGTGCGCGTGTCGGTGAGCCGGCTCGGGTGGGTCGAGAAGCGTAAAGGAAAAATATGCAAGTATTTTTTTTTGCGTAAAGCTGGCAAAGTATTAGGGCTGAGCAATTTATGTGAGGGTGTAAATTATGCGAGTAAATGGGGTAAATGAAAAAATAGCCTTGTAATAGATATAGTGTTAGGAATATACCTTTCTAACATGTTTTCTGATATACAGTCACCAACCGATTTTCCGGACCTGGCGGGCACCGCGAAATAGTCTGAAAAATCTAACAGTGCTAAAAAATAGTCAAGCCGTGAAAATAAAGTTTATTTGAATTAGGAAAGCCTAAATAAGTCCCCAATAATTCCATGCTTCATATTCTTAAGGGCAAGCAAATTTGGTTCTATTTAGGCTATGGTAACATCGTTGGCAAGCACGTTGGCAATTGCTGCCGTCGACCGCTGCGGGTGGCAAAATTGATGGCTCCCTGAAACCAAGCAAACAAAACTTTATGACGGTCGCAAAGAGATGCATGCAACGTCTTGCCCGTTTAGTGGGATAACAACACAGTTTGGGCTTCTTTTAGCTGCATAGACACCGCGTAGTACGTGAGCCTCCAGCATTTCACCACCAACAAAATGCTACCGTCGTGGCCGCAGTCGAACTCGCAGGACGGCTCGAACACAATTGGCTCACCACTCGCACAACCACGTGAGCACTAACGACCAGACAAATGCCCAGAATATGAAAACAACCAACCAGCATAATAATGATAAGGCTGACTGAAAAAGTTTTGCAGTTTTGCTAGCCAAGGAAGATCAGATATGGCCTCTGAAACTCTTAAGATTGTGTGCACTTTCAATCTTGGAGGTCACACAACTAGCCACTACAAGCCAAATTCGACCAAGCCAACAAAAGATTTAACATGGCGGCTTTGAAAATTGAGCAGAATGGTTCAAAATAGTAGTTTAAAATAATCGAACATTGGAAGATAGATTCATGCCTCTTGTGGTAACCTTTGGAAGGCGATGTGGTGACTACCGAAAAGCGCGGCAGTATGCCTTATTGCTGATAAAAAGCCTATATGTTTGTGGCAAGCGCTGCCTTAAGCCCTGCACACCTCATTCATTGACATAATAAGGAGGGGGGAATAGGGGGAGGGCAAAGTCAGCTCTATACATAAACATGATAGAGGGGGGGGTGCTGCGACCAACCTTTGCCCTCCCCCCCTCTGAAGGGGAAAGCTGTGCACGTCCATGTGCTTGGTGGTTAATGCATACTACGTTTCGTGCGTAGTTAGCCGCATTCCCAGCAGGTTGTCCGCATGTGTATATATATTAACAATGTTTTGCCGTAACAAGCTTTGAATGTGTGTGTGTGCGCACTGCTATGAACTTCATGCTGCAGTGAGCTTGTTAATGCAATATTCTTCACTCTTACATCACCGCTTCTGTGCGTAAGCCTACTTTTGTTTATTTTTGTGCTTATTTTGTGGGCTTGCAGCTTCTGTATAAATGATTATGTAAATGGAAGGAACATTAAATTAAAGCTAAATTTTCTTTCCTTGTGTGCTCTGAATCCCATGTGTGCTCTGAACACAGAGGTAGCTGTTCCAAAAGCAGATTGTGCTTGCTCCAATGGCTGCTCAAAAATTCTGGAAGGCATTCCTATCATTGTATTCCTGAAAAGGGCCCTCCAACAGTTTTGAAGCAACCATTTTTGTTTGTGTTTTGCCTAGAGTGATGGCTGGGGATTGTTTTAGCATTTGTCTAAGTGCTGATATCAAATGATTTAGTATTTTAATCATCACATGAAATTGCTATGTCGCTGCTGACTGCATCAGCACGTAGTGGCACTCGCAAAAACTGTTGCGGTTGGAAATGATGGAGGATGGCTGTAGGCCTGTGATTGAATAAATGTAATACTAGAAGAGACCATGGCGTGAGATTGAAATTGAGGTTACTAATGTGTTTATTTTTTTTTTCTGTGCATTTTTTATGGAGCCCCGAACAGACATGGCAGCAACAAAAAAAAAAAAAAGATCACTGCGACTACAAAGCATGACAGAGAGGCTGGCTACCAATCCACCTGCAGATTTTTTTTGCGTGTGCGGGTCAGATGTCCATAGGAAACACCTCTCTCTTTCTTCCCTCTTCTTGCTTTTGTGAATTTGTGAGCTGTCTCTTTCTGCCCGTGCGGTAGGCTCTTGATTGCTGTTGAAGGGGTGAAATGCACCCTTGTTCGTCGAATAGCTCAAAAAACAACTCGCAAATGGTCAACAGTACTTCCCTACCCTGGTCGTTCCACAAATTTCCCTTTTAGAGTGAGAGGAAGGAGCGACACGGAATGTTGTAAAAAACAGCAAAAAATACCCCGCTTTGAAACAATAGTTGTCTCTTTCTGCCCGTGCGGTAGGCTCTTGATTGCTGTTGAAGGGGTGAAATGCACCCTTGTTCGTCGAATAGCTCAAAAAACAACTCGCAAATGGTCAACAGTACTTCCCTACCCTGGTCGTTCCACAAATTTCCCTTTTAGAGTGAGAGGAAGGAGCGACACGGAATGTTGTAAAAAACAGCAAAAAATACCCCGCTTTGAAACAATAGTGCCACTCACGTTCTAGCAAGCCAGATGTCAGGCACCACGTTTATTGTTGGGGCAACGAGGTTGAGATCACGTTGGAAAGAACAAACAACAATGGTGTGCGAGCTTCTCCTGCGTAGGCACTTTAGCTCATTTCATTGGGGAGCCACCTGACTTCACTGGGCTAGTCGGGGCGAGGGAAATCTGGTCAGGTGAACCCATGAAAATCAAATTTGATAGTAGGCATTTTTTTCTTGTATTTTGAATTTTCTATGTCGAATAACTTCCTGCCTGCTGTTATCACTGCCGTTCTTGCTGCATTAGTATATCTGTTTTTCAGTCTACTCAACGCACAAATAAAAAATTGGGGGCTAAATAGTCTTGGAGGGCCCCTTTAAATGAAAGCTCAGACATTATTGGCAGCAAATATGGAACAAGCAAGCACAAAACAAGGTTCATCTCCTCAAGCCATGTCTCGGGAATGAAATTTCAGACTTCCTTATACATTGATTCTATGGGGCTCGTGGCGGTGCTGGGAAGATGTCCGAATTATCGGGCATGTTCGAAAATTCGGGTGTCCGAAAAATCGGTAGTTGACTGTACATTTATCGATGTTCATAGGCAGAGAACCGGTTTGAACATTAGTCACCATTGGCCTTTTCAAAGAAAATGCATAACTTGCACATCATATAGTACCCAGGTAAACCATAGCACGACCTCTGAAAAGGGTGGTTGCTGCGGAGAGCAATGACGTTGGGACACAATGAACTTGTCTGTCTGCCTTTAGAGTCAAATACGTTGTGTAGGAATTAGTGCTATTTCTACGTTTCTGACTTGTATTATCTGCGTAAAATGAAACCTGATTGGTGGCAAGCCTTCATGTAAGTGTAGTGCGCGTGGTCCACTTATCACCATGGACAGGCACGCATATGTGTGCAAAGCTGCCGAACAGGATGCGCATGCCTGTCAATCGTGATACCTGGACGGGGCACACTATATCGTCGCGAAGGCTTGCCGCTGTCCTGGTTTCATTTGACATTAACAGTACACATCATACCCACTTGCAGTTTATTCATTACACACTATATGAAATTTTTATGCTATATTTTTATGATATATAGCGTGTAATTTTATGCCTTTATACAGCCATAATACACCCTGTCATCATAACCATTGGTCAATCCTAACTCCACATCAGACACGACGCTCTTTGGCGACCCATAGCTCTTGGCCGCAAAACCCCGTTAATCATCATCATCAAAATCTATAGTATGATTTCAAATGCCGTTAACATCGGTGATCATCACTGGCCATGGCTCAAATGACTGTAGCTGCCCATGCATAAACAAAGAAACCATTACACACTGAGGACGGTTGCATGCCTCTTACGGCCACAGCTGTAAACACCCAGAGGGAGCGTAGTAAATTAATTTTCAATTGCATGTTTTCCCACGTGGCAGTGATTTAGTCTCACTAGCAAGTAACGCTGCTGTCCATCTGCTTCTTTTTACTGTTATGTTCCTTGCCCAAGACGTCACGATGATATCTAGGTCATCAAACCCTTGATTGATTGATTGATATGTGGGGTTTAACGTCCCAAAACCACTATATGATTATGAGAGACGCCGTAGTGGAGGGCTCCGGAAATTTAGACCACCTGGGGTTCTTTAACGTGCACCCAAATCTGAGCACACGGGCCTACAACATTTCCGCCTCCATCGGAAATGCAGCCGCCGCAGCCGGGATTTGAACCCGCGCCCTGCGAGTCAGCAGCCGAGTACCTTAGCCACTAGACCACCGCGGCGGGGCTAGGTCATCAAACCCTGCTAAACCGATGCCACTATAGCGAAACATTTTTGAGACACGACCAACTGCTCATAGAAAATACAATAAAACATTATTAATTCAGTCACAGGGCCTATGAAAAATTTTTGAATCGAACGACTTTTCAAATAAACAAGACATTCGAAAAGCGGAATGCAAGGAAGATAGAATTACTGAAAGTAATCAGAGGTAGTCATTTGCTATGCCCTCTGGTTTGCGACTCCAAGGGTTATGTTACCCAGCAATACCTGGTCTAATTTTTGTGCAGATTCAGGGAAATGGTGGGCCCCGCTACTGCCAGCGTAAGAAAAAAAAAGGAAAATTCTTCATGATCAGCTAAAATGCTTGCCTGCAGAAAAGATATGCTTCACTGAAACATAGTGATGACACGAGAGCAGCATGCGATCTCCTCGCAGCGTCGCCGTGCCATGATGTGACCGTTCACTTATTCTTTCTTGTAAAATAATATATTTAACAGAAAAAGGAGAGTTTGATGATTTCACTAGGCGTTCTGGCTGGAATACATGATCAATGAAGTCTACCAGTGCAAGAGTGCAGATTGTCGGAGCAACTGCCATTCGGATGTTCGCAAACATAGCAAATTTCTTCAGACTGTTTGTTTTATTTGCCTCAAAGTGGGTAAATTGTATCACACTGGTGTTGCGAGAGGAGTGCGATATGCTGGCACGTGTCACCACTGTGTTGCAGTTGCAGTGAAAGACATTTCTATTTTTGTGTTATGGCTTTCTGTTGCTTTGTAATAGATAAAAAATTTAATGAAAAATATTCCCTGTCATTTTCTTTATTATGATGGTATGATCGGGTACTAGGAAGCAGTCTGAAGCACTAAACTAAATGGGTACTATAAGAATTGGTTGTAGCTTTTTTGAAATCATTCAACAATTTTGACTGAATCTCGTTCCCCATATCCAGAAAGTAGAAATCCTGTGCAGGACACTCTTTGGCATATAAAACCCTTACACCATTCCTACCTCCATGCCCTCCCCCCCCCACACACACTTCATGTTTGCTAGATGGAGATTGTGCTGTGCTGGGGTCTTGAACCAGTTTTCCAAGTAATTGATTGACCTCAGTATTGAAGCTTATTACCTCGTGAATAGATTCACACAATTTATTCACACAGATTTCTCAAGTTCATCAAGATTGAGCGGAGTTACAGAAACCTGTTGCACACTTTAAGCACGTTGGCTCGTATGACGAGCTTGCTGGAAGCTACACTGGGAGGAGTGGCACGTCTGAAAAGAGTTACATCAGTGTGTTTCGTGACTTTGTGTGCCCATAGTGAAAGTTAATCACTCCCTCCAGTTGCAATTCCTGTGTGCACTATTGTGAAATGCTTGCAGATTATGTATTGCACTGTTGGCACGTTGTGGCATTTTGGGTCAAGTAGTACATGTGATCTTGATGTTACTCTTGATTTATGTTGTGTATAGGCCAATAGTATGCTATCCGTGGTCTGTCGTGAAACAGTGGGTGCCGGCAGCTCTGACGAGACTGAGAACAGGCTTATATGACAAGAGTGTACCTGAAAAAAATGCCAGCTTCATTCTCTGGTGTAAAGATTCTTTGCCACACCGGGTTGCAAGCATTGGCTCAGCTGTTCGTAGCAATGTATGCTTTCTGCATTTTTTCAATAAGCATGGGGGTTGGTTCGTGATCCCTTTAAAAGCATACGACACAGAGATCCAGGTTAGCATCTCTGATGGGGTGAGTTGAAAACACTGCAAAAAAGCAGCATTTATTTTCTTTTAATACTTGGCTCTAACAAAAGTTTTAAGTGTTAGTACTGATAGGCCCAGTGGTCCCGTGCCTGCATTATTTTTGCCTCTTATAGACTATATTGTAATATGATTGTTAATATTTTTTTCCTGGCTTTCTTTTTTTCATTAGACACTACCTGATGAAATCAAAGAGAGAAACGAGAAACTACAAGCTGAAATGATCGGTAAGATGGCCACACGTCTTTGTGTGTTTTTAATCCATGGAATCCTGATTGCTTCTTCTAAAAATGACGTTTATCCATGCAGACAAGTTGAAGGAGCTTGGAAACCTTGTTCTAAGGCCCTTTGGTATGTCAACTGATAACTTCAAGCTTACAAAAGATGGGGAAGGGGGTGGGTACAAGATACATTTCCAGAAGTGAATGTATTGTAAAGTGAAACCAAATAAAATACACATTTTACTCGTTGTCCTAGTCATGGTCTTAACATCCTTGTAAAATACCTGCAAAAATATGTGTTCCATTTGTGTGATTGAAGACTTTCTCATGATGAAAGTAGAAGTGTGATAACTATGCAGGACACATGTCAATAGAACATGCAGAAGTGTGTTGCAGGTTTGCAAGAACAGATTCTGTATAAAGAAACAGCGCTATAACAAGGCAAAACGAGAGGACACAAGCACGGCACTGTTGTCCTCTTGTCTTTGTCTCGTTCTAGCACCATTTCTTAAATTGAAATCAGTAACGAGTCCAATTGATGATGCTAATTTCAAGAACTCTTCGTTTTAACTTGTAGCACTTGCTCTGGGAATGCCACAGAAAGTGTGGCTCAAGGAATAAAGAAAAACTTTGTATTGAATATGTGTATACTTATTTACTACTCGGGTTGTCTAGGTTGTCTAAGTATATAGACATGCGGTCGCCCATATTTCTGTTGTGCAGTCGAACCCTTTATATAAGAGACAATGATGTAGGAGACAAATGAGTAAGAGACACCAGAGGGCCTACATTAAAATAGGGGTTGATAAAAAAAAATGCATGCGTGGTACCTTGCTTATAAGAGACACCTCCTACAATAGACAAAAATTGATGCCCAGAGCATGTCTCTTGCAGAGGGTCAACTGTATAAGCAGTCTCTCATTGTCTCCTCAAGCTCGTGAGAACTCGCATGTGTTTATAATTGCTTTTAGGGACATTTACTCGGCACAGGTTTAATTTAATTCGGCACAGGTTAGAATTCGGACTGCTTCGCACGAAATAGATTCGCACAAAGCGTGGGATTTATCAAATTTTCAAAGACGATAGTCTTTCTTGGGGACCTTCGACGCAAAAATTTTGGTCTGTCTTTGTGTCTGTTTTTCCACCCATAACGGTACCCCAAACGACTCCAAAGTGACTAAACAATACTTTAAACGGCCGACCCCATCTGCAGTGCCCACCATTATTAATCAAGGTTCAGCGTTCATACTTGTGCGAGTGTCAATTAAAAAGCAATTGTTGAGCGTATCCAAGGCACCATAACAACACGTCATTATTATGTATGTGTATTTTTTACTAGAAAAGGCATGCATAAGTAATTTCAAGGATCGTAGCCTTTAAACCACTGTGCTGGTCATGCAACGCTTGCACGAAACGGCAAGTGTTTCCAACGCTTTGCTAAGACGACACGGTGATGGCACCTAGCCGTCAGCTTGTGTTCTACACCTTATCACCTCGGAGAGGGGTGAGCTCAGTTCGCGCCCATTTTTCCAAGATAACTGCAAGATAGCGCTCATGTCTCACATGTGACGCGACTTGAAGTGCTCGTTCGCCTTCGCTGCATGCTCGAGGCACTCTAACGCAGCGCCTCCAGAATACGAATCACTGATTTTCTTGCGCAGAACATCATATAAACGTTTTGTTCACTTTCTCCAGACGCAAGACTATCATCTTGCGACGCCATTTGCGGTGTAACATGCAGATACGGGGCCAATTTTATCACTCGTTTAATTTTTTCGTTGATAGCACGTGCACGCCGTCGCAAAATGGCAGCCGCCGACAGTGGAGTTTATAGCTGACGACTTCTAGGGCTCACTTCGCACAGAAATATTCTTTTACAGTCCATTTTTATTTTAGAGCAAACTGATCAAACGGAAGCTTTTAAACATAACTACTGCTTAAATTAAGCAGCTGCTTCTAAACTGATTGAATTCGTACTTGATTTCTACACCTTGTTCCTTCATCAGTAAGTGTAACTTCTGTCAAACAGAATATATTCTTGTGATCTCTTAAGGTATTGTTTGACTGTTTCTAGAGGCACACTATACCCTCCTTTTCTGTTTTTTGCGGAAAACCTCAAATTATTATAGGTGACCATGTCACAGCTCCTTTGTGATAGTGACTATAAAAGTTAAATTAGTTTTCTTTTTAGTTACAGCAGGCAGGCAGTCTGGTCTAATAGGAAAACGGGAGTCCTTTATGCAAAAAGCCGATTGTTCTAACAAGATTTCTGAGAAGCAGCCACTAGTAAGTTTTGTGAAGGTATGAAATTGACTTTCACCGGTTAACCCAAAACACCAGTATAGCGCAAAATAGTAACAACATGGCACGATAAAGTGATCAGTTCGAGGTTAAGTTCGTATTCATTGGCATGTTTTTGTGTTGATGCTACCAATTTGTGCTCAAGGAACTCTCTCAACAGTAAAAGTTACGGTTATCGTTCGCTTTCTTTTCACAGTATTAATATAGTCTACGTGTGAGAACATCTGATGGAATGTGTAAGAATTCCTATACTTAATCATCCTATTCTCCTTCGTTTTATTTTACGTGCTCCTGTTGCAAGCCAAATATGCAACTCGGCTTTGTTTCAGTTGTATGGAAGCGTTGACACCACGTTTAAAGGATGTTTATCTCTGTTTTCGCCTTTTGAATTGATTGATGATTGATATGTGGGGTTTAACGTCCCACCATATGGTTATGAGAGACGCCGTAGTTGAGGGCTCCAGAAATTTCGACCACCTGGGGTTCTTTAAGGTGAACCCAAATCATGAGCACACGAGCCTACAGCATTTCCGCCTCCATCGGAAATGCAGCCGCCGCAGCCGGGATTCAATCTCGTGACCTGCGGGTCAGCAGCCGAGAACCTTAGCCACTGGACCAGCGCGGCGGGGCAGCCTCTAAAATTGTCAAAATGGAAAACCTGGAGAATCTAGAGAAACCTTGCACTGCTGCAATGCTCCGACAAGACAGCCAAAGACCACAAAAAAGCCCTCGGAAGTATAGAACAAAGAATTTTCAAAAAGTAAACCTCGATAATTTTTTTGAACATTTTTACCGAGAAAGCTGTTACGAGGTCACAACAAGGAATGTTTTTTCTGCCGTGGCTGACCGCTGCCGCCAGTGTCCGTGACTGCTATTGCTCGAGAAAGGAAAAAAAGTTATCTAAGATGAAGTGGGGTTCGAAGCTGGGTCCTCTCCATGGCAGCCCAGCATTCTACCACAGAGCCGTGCGGGTGCCCAAAACTCCTTTTAAAAAAGACCCTGTATGGGCATTATGTTGGGAAGGAACCATGTTAACCATGTGGTGTTGGAAAGAAACCATGCTCGTGTAAAATATGCAAGTGCCAGGCGTAACCTGCACGACCTACATTGAGAAAGTTATGAAGCTATGTACACTCTTAAAAAAAAGTCGTATATTGACTAAGTACTAGCCCATTACTTTTCACAGAATCCACTAACCATGGGGACAAGGAAGTCGAAGTTTTTCCTGAGTGGAACACTGGTTTCAGTCTCTGTTATTTTTTCTCGTTTTTGATTGGTGCTTGTGGAAGACGCCGTTCTCCTGCCTGCGGAAATGGACGTAGAATCACCAGGGCTTCCACCTATACCTTCCAAGTCGTCTGTGGCCACTCTAAGAAAGCGCTCTGGCCACCCAAGTGACGTCAACAGCGAGGACACGCTGATATACTCTACGGCCAGTGATGAGAGCTCCGATGAAAGTGACTTTGTGCCCGTGGCAAGACGCAAGGCAAAGAGGAGGCTACTTACGACATCATCTTCCCAAAGTAAGGTTACCACGAATACAGTCGCCGACCGATTTTTCGGACCTGGCGGGGACTGAAAAAAAGTACGAAAAATCGAACAGTCCGAAAAATTCGTTTTCGCCAAAAATCTGAAGTTTATTGCATCAGGCAGGTTTTAAAAAGTCCTTGATGCTGCCTTGCCTCAAACTACGCTTGGAGGCAATTTGGTTTGCCCGTATTTGCGCCAAGGTGACATCGTCGCCGTAAACGCTCGACAAAATTGTCACCGCGTTGGCGATCTCCGCCGCCGACGGCTGCGGGCGGTCGTCGTTGTCGTCATCCGAGCCGCTCTCCGGCTCCGGGACAACCTGGTGAAGAATTTCGTCGTCAGTGGCCTCCGCGCACGCTTCTTCACACCACCTGGCTCCCGCGATGGCACAGATGGCGGAGCCATGGCACCGAGAACACAAAATTCGATGCCGCAGATAGCCGCTGCGAAGCACACAACGTCTCGACGCTACGCGACACAACACGTGCAGAATGGCGACTGAAAAAAAGCTGCAACGACCCGACAATAAAAGAATCCTTCTTTCGCCTCCTCCCCGTGCGATGTGATGACGATAGTGCTGACCGAAGACGAAAAAACGGCATCCATCACCGCGTCTTTTAAAAAGCAAACACGGCCTCCGAAACTTAAAATATAGCGTGCGCATTCCAATCTCGGAGGCAGGAAAGGCATCTGAAGACCAAGTTTAGTCAAGCCGACGGAAAATCCAACATGGCGGCGTTCACAATAGCTTGGGGCGTGGCACAAAACGAGCGATTTAGTCCGAAAAATCGAACTTTCAGGGGCAAATTCGCCCGAAAAATCGGTCGAAACAATGCATTAGCTCTATGGGATCCCTGACGGTGCATTTATGAAGTCCGGAATATCCAACAAGTCCGAATTTTTGGAGTCCGGAAAATCGGTCGGCGACTGTATTCAAGAGCCACCGGTTCACACTATTTTGTTTATTCCGCTGAATGCCGCTGACACCATTAACCGACTTAATCGGCAGGTCACGTATATGTCACTTGAGGCGCTCGTTCTGGGACAAATAACAGACGTGAGAATCAGTGGCCGCAAGAACGTTCTGGCGATAGACGTTACGCAACGTACTGCTCTCGACATATTGACCAAGGCGCATGTGCTGGGGAACATCAACGTACGTTCTTTCATACTAGATTGCAAGGACTCTTGGGCAGGTGTTATCTACGACATCGACACTTCTATCAGTGATATTGATTTTTTCATTCTAGTCAAACCAGTGATGGAAGCTTCTATAATCTTGCAAGCCCGCCATCTCGGGAACTCACGATGCGTGAACTAGTTTTCAAGTGTGACAGTCTCACAACTCAAGTGAGAGTTGGTCATTTTCGACACACAGTACGGCCGTTCGTGCCGAAATCTTTAAGTGTCGGAAGTGCTGTA